GATTCCAATCATATGAAATTTCTAGAAAAGGCAAATATTTAGAGACAATAATAAATCAGTGGTTGCCTTCGGTTGGGGGTGAAGGCAGAGAATTAATGGAAATAGGAATGAAGAAACTTTTTAGGGGGATGTAAATGTTCTATAACTGGAATATGGTGATGGCTTTACAGCATTACATTTTACTGAAAATTATCAAATTGTATGATTAAAATGGGTGAATTTTATTATATATAAATCCTACCTCAATAAAGCTATTTTTAGAATACTTTTAAAAAATTCTAATAGTCATTTCTCCATAAATGAAAAAGCCAATCCTCAAATTCATATGGAACTACCAAGGGCCCCAAATAGTCAAAATGGTCTTGAAAAAGAAGAACAAAGTTAGAGAACTCACACTTCCTGATTTCAAAATTGATTCCAAATCTACAGTAATCAAACCAGTGTGGTACTAGCACATAGATCAATGGAATATAACTGAAAATCTAGACATGCACCTAAACACCTATGATAAATTTATTTTTCACAATGATGCCAAAACCATTTAATAGGAAAGAACAGTCTCTTCAACAAAGAGGAAACTAAGTAATCAAATGAAAAAGAATTAAGTTGAATCTTTACCTCATTTCACATACAAAAATTAAATAAAAATCAAAGACATAAATATAGGAGCTAAAATTATAAAACTCAGAAAAAACATGGGTGTAAATCCTCATGACCTCAAATTTGACAACTGATTCTTATATTTAACACCAAATGCACAAGCAGCGAAAGAAAAATAGATAAGTTGGACTTTATCAAAACTAAAAACTGTTCTGCAGCAAAGGACACTATTAAGAATGTGAAAATAAAACCTATAGAATGGTAGAAAACATTTGAAAACTATCTATTTGATACAGGTTTAATATCCACAATATATAAAGATAATATTTAAAATAATATATTAATAATATATTGATAATACAATAAAGACTGAAAATGGACACATTTAAACAGTAATATTTAAATAATAATAAAAAACAATTAAAGAATGGGCAAAGGATCTGAATAGACATTTCTCCCCCCAAATATACAAATGACTAATAAGCATATGAAAAGATGTCAACATTATGGGTCAATAAGAAAATGCAAATCAAAACCACAGTGAGATACCACTTCACATCCACTAGGATGGTTTTAGTCAAGAAAACTGAAAATAACAGGGTTGGCAAGGATGTAGAGAAATAGGAACCCTTGTACATTGCTAGAAGGAATGTAAAATGGCACAGGTATTCTGGAAAACAGTTTGTCAGTTACTCAAATATATTAAACACAGAATTACCATATGATGCAGCAATTCTACTCCTAGGTATGCTAAAGAGAAATAAAGACATATGTCTATACAGAAAATTGTATATGACTGCTTATAGCAGCATTATTGATAATAGCCAAAAGGTACAAAAAACTCAAATTACCAAATCAATGGATAAACAAAATGTGGCATATACATGCAATGGAGTATTATTTAGCCATAAAAGGAACAAAAACTACTGATACGTGTTACAACTTGGATGGACATTGAGAACAGTTTACTAAGGGAAAGACACCAAACACAAAAGTATATGTACCATATGATTCCCTTTATATAATATATCCAGAATAGGCAAATCTGTAGAGATAGAAAGTCAACTAGAGGTGTCGGGGGAATCAGGTGAGGTTGGGGATAGGGACTATCTACTCAATAAGTATGAGATGTTTTACAGGGTGATGAAAAAGTTTTGCAACTAGAAAGAGGTGGTGACTGCATGACATTATGAATATATGAAATATCACTGAATTGTACGCTTTAAAATTGTTCACTATATGCTATGTGAATTTCACCTCAATTAAAAAAGAAAAATGAATAAAAGAGCAAATTTAATAAAATAAGTGCAAACTTGTAGACTGAAAACTACAAATTATCATTTAAAGAAAATTAAAGAAGGCCTAAATTAAAGAAGTCCCATGTTCACAGGATGAGAAACTTAATATTGTGAAGATGGTAATACTCCACAAATCGAACTACAGATTCAGTGCATCCCTATCAAAATCCCAGCTGGCTTTTTTGCAGAAATTCTTACAAGTTAATTCTAAAATTCATATGGAAATGCAAGAGACTCAGAAAAGCCAAAACTATTATGTAAAAGAATAGTGCTAGAATATATCCTTTCCAATTTGGAAATTTACTACAAAGCTACAGTCATCAAGATAGTGTGGTACTGATATAAGGATAGACATATAAACCAATGGAACAGAACTGACTGAGAATCCAGAAATTAACTTATACCTCTATGATACTGATTTTCAATAAAGGTGCCAATAATAATGTTGGGGAAATGACAGTCTGTTGTCCCTGGATTAGGCAATGCTTTCTTAGACACCAAAAGCAATGTTAATGATGGCAGGATTCCGGACATCTGATTCTTAATGTACCGCACAGAATATTTTTAGACCCGCACAACACCAAGAGACAAGCACAATGGACTGAAACATGGAGCCTGTCCATGAAGTCTAGTGAGAATGAGCTGGAAGCAGTGGAGAAGCTATTTCACTAGAGGCAAATGGGAAGGAAAGCATTCCATGTTTCCAGGCACACCAACACAAACCACATCTGGGATCTGACAAACATTTCACTTCATCTTAAAGAACATTATTCGAAAGCTAGCTTTAGCCATTTTTAAAGAAAAAATAGGACAAATGACTCTAAATTTGTATGTGTCAAAATCAAAATTTGAAAAGATGTTATATATTTCATAAAACCTTTCTAGACAAAATAGGTATTTTTAACTAATTTGTGGGGGGGTTTTGTTTTATTTGACTTATTTTTTTCTTTTTTATTTCCAGATATTAAAGGGGTACAAATGCTTTGGTCACATAAATTACCTTTGCACTGCCTGACAAGTATGCCCATCCCCCATACAGTGCTCACTGCATCCATTAGGAGTGGATTTACCCCCTCACCTGCCCAATACCCTATGAATGTTATTTCCCATAAGTACATATTAATGTTATCAATTAGTATCAATTTAATGGTGAGTACATCCAGTGTTTGCTTTTGCATTCTTGTGATACTTCACTTTGAAGAATGGGCTCCAGCTCCATCCAGGATAATACAATAGGTAGCTCATTATTTTTTATGGCTGAGTAGTATTCCATGATACACATATACTACATTTTGTTTATTCCACCCATGTCTTGATGGGTACTTGGGTTGTTGCCACATCTTTGCAATTGTAAATTGTGCTGCTATAACCATTCAGGTATGTGTATCTTTTTATTTTTTTTATTTATTTATTTTTTTTTTTTTAGAAAACTGATGCATACTGGATGTGTATCTTTTTAATAGAATGTCTTTCTTTCCTTTGGGTAGATACTCAGTAGTGGGATTATTGGATCAAACGGTGGTTCTACTTTTAGCTCTTTGAGGTATCTCCATACTACTTTCCATAGAGGTTGTAGTATTAATATTTTGCAGTCCCACCAGCAGTATATGAGTGTCCCTAACTCTCCACATACATGCCAACATTTGTTGTTTGGGGACATTTTGATAAAAGTCATTCTCACTAGAGTTGCATGATATCTCAGTGTGGTTTGGATTTGCATTTCCCTGATGATTAGAGATGTTGAACATTTTTTCATGTTTCTTTAGCATTAGTCTATCTTCTTTTGAAAGGTTTCTATTCATGTCCTTTGCCCACTTTTGAATGGAGTTGTTTCATTGTTTCTTGCTGAGTATCCTAAGTTCTATATAGATTCTAGTTATCAGCCCTTTATAGGATGCATAGCATGCACATATTTTCTCCCATTCTGTAGGCTGTCTATTCGCTCTAGTGATAGTTTCTTTGGCTGTGCAAAGACTGAAACAGGATCCACACCTCTCAACTCTCACAAAAATCAACTCACAATGTATAACAAACTTAAACCTAAGGCATGAAACCATAAGAATTCTAGAAGAAAATGTTGAAAAACTCTTACAGACATTGGCCTAGGAAAGAACTTATGAAGAAGACCCCAAAAGCAATCACAGCATCAACAAAAATAAATAAATGGGACATTATCAAATTAAACAGCTTCTGTACAGCCAAAGTGCTTGCTTATTTCTTATTGTTTCTAAGTCCTGATTTTTTTCACTTAATTTTTTTCAAGAATTTGAATGGGAAATTCTGTTTCCATATTTAAGGGGAAAAAAAGATTAAAAACACCAAATCTCCAGAATCACCCAAATTAAAAGTAGTATCATGGAATACTACTCAGCCATAAAAAATGATGAACTACCTATTGTACTGGCAGCTGCTCCATTCTAGAATGGCATATTCCTTTCTCTACATTTCTTCCTATATATTATTTATTGAAAGGAGACAAATTTCTTCTTGAATATTTGTTTTAAAAATGCTAAGATTACACTTAAAAATTATTAGCCACTATGGTCTAATTCATTTTTAAATTAAAAAACAAAGAGATTTGATAGAGCAAGTCTTTAAATATTTCTTTAATGAGAAAAAATAACTAACTAGCAAGAGTCCTTATTTAAATGTTTGGCTAAGTCATTAAGTTGAGTTGGTAGAAGAGGTCTGGCAAGTCTACAGAATCATTGTTAATTCTCCCTTCTCATATTTCTATATTTAACTCCAAAATTAAGCATATTTAACAATCTTGTGGTTCAATTTATGAATTAACTTATAAGATAAATTATGTAACTAAAATATCTAGTTTTAAATGCTAGTCCTTAATAATGGTACTCATTTAGCTGGATAACAATTTTTAGTAATTTTTTTAATGGCTGCTTAATATATCTTAATAAACACAGTCTAATTTCATTATGAAGAGGGAAATACAGATTTCAGATACTTGGTGGTCAAAAGAATCTCACACAGTATTTCTGTCATACACATTGTATTGAAATGTGACTTTCATAAATAAAATAAAAATGAAGATTGCCACTCATACAGAGATGACTTCCAAGGAAACTCAGACAGTCCACTCACCTTGGGGTGCTATCAGAGTTCTTCCATTCTCCTGACACCAACCAACAGGCTGGACATAAGGACTATTAACATCACACCTGCAAAAACAGGATTCTATTTTAGATCCCATATTACTCAAGGCCAGAGAAAGAATCCAAGAGTAATGATCATTCTGGATATCAAGAGATACTATAAAAACAGAACTTCATAGCTAAAGAGAATTAGAAGTAATTTTTAGTACTGTATTTATAGGCTGAGTGACCAAACTTCTTCTCTCTTACATAACCTTCTTAAAATTTAAAAGTATAAAATAAAAGTGGGTTTGACAAGGACCTGAATTTCAAGTAATGTCCCCAAGAGTGATCATTTCAATAAATCTTTTCTACCACTGCTTGCTAGCAGCAATGGAAAACATTAACAGGACAGTCCAAATTTTAATAGGACTGTCAAACTCCAGATGACTACATTTTCCCTCCCTCTCCTTGTCAAAGAACTCAGCATAGTCTACCCAAGACACACGCAACAATTACTCTCTGCTCTGCTTCTTAGTTCAAAGGGAGACAGGGCCCCAACATGCACACGAAGAACCACCGCCTCAGGCAAGGATTTGTCAGTTATGCAGGACATATGTGAAGAAATGCTACAAAGATGATTTTTGCCATGACCTCTTCCATATTTCAGGTTTTTATCCAAAAAACTCTTTCAACTTGTGCAACGTTAGTTTAATAGCATCTTGGCATACATTTTCTCTGTTCCCTGTAGGCTTTCGACGAATTCACTCCCATTCTCCCAGAATCTTTCCTTTTAAAAATGTAACAGGTTGAGTTCAACATTTTCCAGATTAAAAAATACTGCAAGTTCGTAACTCCCTCTTCACAGAAATGTTTCCCTGACAAACTAGACAAAGTACAGTGAGTGAAGTGTCCTGAACTGGTCACATGTTTTCAGATGAGGCCTCATTAGGCAACCTCTCATAAAATGGAGAAAAATTCCTGGGGCTTCTTAATTCAAAAATTCACATGCAAGAGAAGGTGGTGAACAGTCACCTAGGAAATTCCTGGTGTTCATCACTATTAGAAGAGCAATAACAGCTATAGTACTAGCATAAAAATAAATTCTTAACACTAAACACATGAACACACAAAAATAAAACACACATTGGTGTCTCACCAGTAATCGTAACTATCATCCCAATTGTCAAAATGCACTAGTAAGCGATCTTCAACAATATCTGCTATGGTCGCCACACACACCAAGGAAGGGTTCTTCCTGTCGACGGCCTCCAGCTTCATTCCAACCTGAAATTCTTTAGGCATTGGCCCATTCTAACACAGCACCAGAAAGAGAAGAGGCATAAAAAGAAACAGGACACCAAATAGGACTGAGCCACTGTCAAAACTCCTAAGATGTTTAGCAAAGTCTACAGGGTGGCAGCACTTACCCTCTGGAACTAAGCCAGCAAATGCCAGTAAAAATATCTAGCAACTGTCATGGAGTTTACACCACTAACAAAGGCCCGAGAAACTAGCTTCCCTTTGTGCTTTTCTCTTTTGTTGTGCAGGTAGGTTTTCATTCGCTTATCACTTTCATTTTTCCCTCTTTGATTCTTAGAATAATTTGTATTAACTTAAAAATAAGTTGTTTACTGGATACAGTAGTATCAAACAATTTTCTCTGTCCCCATAGGCTTTTTTTGTGTGTGTGTGAGACAGAGTCTCACTTTGTTGCCCAGGCTAGAGTGAGTGCAGTGGCATCAGCCTAGCTCACAGCAACCTCAATCTCCTGGGCTCAAGCGATCCTCCTGCCTCAGCCTCCCGAGTAGCTGGGACTACAGGCATGTGCCACCATGCCCGGCTATTTTTTTTTTTTGTGTATATATATATATATGTGTGTGTATATATATATATACTTATATATATACTTGTATGCTGTTGGTATATATAATATTTTTTAGTTGGCCAATTAATTTCTTTCTATTTATAGTAGAGATGGGGTCTCGCTCTTGCTCAGGCTGATTTTGAACTACTGACCCAAGCAATCCGCCCACCTAGGCCTCCCAGAGTGCTAGGATTACAGGTGTGAGCCACCTCGCCTGGCCCCCCTTGACTTCTGAATAGTTTCCGAATATACTATTTGAAAAAGTGGCAAAGATATGCTCTTTAGCACCAAAGTATCATTTAATTTGATTACTCGATCTGAAAATATTGCCTTTCCAAATATTTAAGCAACACATGCACTAATCCTGAATAAAACTATAACTATAAAAATGCAAACCCCTTTTTTACTATCTGTACTTTTTTTAGTGTAAAATATACTATAAACTATGATTTATAAGAACATAATTATAAAACCCACTCTTCATATAGCTATAATAAGCTAGGATTTAGGGAGTATACACACAATATCTGTGTACTAAAAATGGGTTTTTCCCTACTTCTCTTTTGTCTATACTGACACCTGATTTTTATTTTCTTCTAGCACATTCTATTTTTAAAGCAATTTCACATTTTAACAGCTCCTTTTTCTTGATACAGTTCTATGAAACACATATAACAATTGCATAACATTGATTTCAAGATCACAAAAGTGATGTCTGGAGGAATTCAGTGAGTGGCCTGCACAGTGAACCCCTGCAGGTGGCAGAGCCAACTCCTGGTCCCAGGCTACCACACTGCATCTGCCCTAGCTACAGACTGCCAGCCTCACCGCTGCTCTCGAGAGTGTCTAAGAGCAGTCAGGATTGTGACTTATTCTCCTTCTCTACTGAAGGTTCATTAAGTTGCTGGGGACACAGATGGAAGAAGGAGTGTGTTCTACGCAAATCATCAGAACACTCCTTTAATCTGTATGAAAAGTTTCCCTAATATTCATTGCACTTAAATATGTCTAGGCTGGGTGCATTCAAAGTATACCTTGAGTATCTACTGGTTTCAAAACATGAAAACTAAATTAATTAAAAGATTAATCCACTGTAAGCAAAAGGAAAAACATTTTTTTAAAGACATTTTAAATTTTATTAGTGGGCTTTAAATATAAAGTTTTCAATTTTTCCCACCAAATTGAAGTATTTAATTATACTTTTAAAAGAAAAAAAAAGATATGCCCACAGGTAACTATGACAAATTAAGTATGAAAAGTCATAGGAAGTTAAGAGTTTCCATAATTTATTAAAGGACTGCAATACAACAGAATATATATATACATATGTGTATATATATATTCATATATATGCATATATATGAATATATATACATATGTATATATATACACATATATGTGTATATGTATATATACATATATATGTGTGTGTGTATATATATATATACATATAGTAAACTTTTAAGAAATTTAAGCTTGGGGTAAATCTGATTTATATTGAAGAAGAAAATACTTACAGAACTTCTGTTTCTGAATAATTTCTTGGGAGCATTTTGCAATTTGCAGGCCTTCAAGTAATCCATCCAAACAAATTTATCTTTTCTATAACCTAAAAAAATATATAGATTACTCAAAATACCCACAAGATGTAACCACATACATATTAAATGTATTATCATTATTCAGTCTTCTGCCATAAATTCAATGTCTTTAGCAGACCACAAAAGATTTAAATTAAAATCCTTGGCCGGGCGCGGTGGCTCATGCCTGTAATCCTAGCTCTTGGGAGGCCGAGGTAGGCGGATTGCTCAAGGTCAGGAGTTCAAAACCAGCCTGAGCAAGAGCGAGACCCTGTCTCTACTATAAATAGAAAGAAATTAATTGGCCAACTGATATGTATATAAAAAAAAAAATTAGCCGGGCATAGTGGCGCATGCCTGTAGTCCCAGCTACTCGGGAGGCTGAGGCAGAAGGATCGCTCTAGCCCAGGAGTTTGAGGTTGCTGTGAGCCAGGCTGACGCCACGGCACTCACTCTAGCCTGGACAACAAAGCGAGACTCTGTCTCAAAAAAAAAAATAAAATAAAATAAAAATAAAATCCTTAAATTGTTTCAGCTTGTTTCTAATGTATTAAGCTCCAAACTGTTGATGGTGAGTTCCTATCATGTACACCATTCCCTATAAATTAATACTCTCTGATATGGAACTGGTACCCAGGTGGCTCGATGGGAGTTTCCAGAATGGGCAAAGGGATGACGCTGGAGTTCCTGTGCCCGCGCCCACTCCTGAGGAGGCCAGGTCGTGAGGCCACCGGGGGTCCTGAGTGCGGCCATCCAGGCCAGGCACTCCCGGAAACGACAGAAACTCTGCTACAATCCGAAGACCATTCGGCAGCTCCAGCTTTCTGCTCCATTTCTTTACAAGTTTCTCATTTACAAATCCTATCTTCCCATTCATATGCCCTAACGTGGCTCCCACACAGTGCTGGCCCAAATGACACGGGCTCGATAACTGTTTTCTGAATGAGTGTCACACTTAGAAGTCAAACTGCCTGCATAGCCTTCAAGGCCTCAGCGATGCCTCTTCCTGACCTCTACCTGCTTACCGTGGCTGCTCTGCTAGTCCTCCTCCGTCCCCGCGCATGCCCCCCACCCCTGCGCATGCTCCTGCCGCCACCCCTACCAACACCCCTACCCCTTGCACTTCCTGCCGCCACCCCCACCCCACCCCTACCCCTTGCACGCTCCTGCCGCCACCCCCACCAACACCCCTACCCCTTGCATGCTCCTGCCGCCACCCCCCCCCCCCCCCCCCCCCCCCCCCCCCCCCCCCCGCCACTCCCACCACACCCCTATCCCCGCCACCTCCGCCACCCCTAACACCCCTACCCCTTGCACGCTCCTGCCGCCAACCCCACCAACACCCCCACCCCCGCCAACCCCACTAACATCCCTACCCCTCGCGCATGCTCCTGCCCCATTTGCTTAGCTTTCCCTCTGGAAAGCCACACTGCTTTCTCTCCCTGCTCATCCAAGTCTCTGTGTGACAACACCGACAGCTATGCTCAGAGAGGCCTTTCTTCACCGCACTGTCTGAAAGAGTGTCCATATGGCCACTCAACCCTCCACTATCCCCCTCCTCAGGAATGGAAGGCCCATTCCTTCCAGAGATGGAGACGTTGTTTGTTTGTTTTACTCTTGTTTCTCTCTCATTATCTCCCCTGTTCCTGCACACAGTAGGGGCTCCACAAATACCTACTGAATGGGCAAGCCTGTCGTCTGTCACCAGCTTCCATGAAATCCAGCAATCTCGAGGGACTCTCATCTGTCTCAGGGTAGGATCTCAAGGGACACCCTGAGTCAGTTACTAAGAATAAAAGGACTATATACTGACTGTGGAAGTTGTCCCAGTCATCGAGTGGTAGCTGGTATACAGAAGTTTGCCATGTAAAGAAAAATGGGCTCTTTGGCATTATACATGACCACACCTTCACCTCACTTGCACCTCACCTGCCTGACCCAGGTTCCTCTAGCACGTAACTAAAGATGAGATTTTTTTCATTGCCATCAAAATAAAACAGTGAATTTTTTTCATAGTTCCACGTTCCCATGAAGTTTGAAGGAAATTATTTATAATGAATCAAGTTTCCTCACCATGCAGAGAAGACAGACTAATGACCAATAATCATGAAAAAATGCTCAACATTTCTAATCGTCAGGGAAATACAAATCAAAAATGCAATGAGGTATCACTTAACTCCAGTGAGAATGGCTTTTATCACAATGTCCCCAAACAACAAATGTCAGTGTGGATGCAGGGAAATAGGCACACTGGTACACTGCTGGTGGGGCTGCAAACTAGTACAACCTCTATGGAAAGTAGCAGAGAGATACCTCAGAGAACTAAAAGTAGAACTACCATTTGATCCAGCAATCCCACTACTGGGTATTTACCCAAAGGAAAAAAAAAATTCTACAAAAAAACCCACCTGCACTTGAATGTTTATAGCAGCACGATTTACAATTACAAAGATGTGAACACAACCCAAGTGCCCATCAATACATGAGCGGATTAATAATAAAATGTGGTATATGTATACCATGGAGTACTACTCAGTCATAAAAAAAAAATTGGTGAACTAATACCTTTTGTATTAACCTGGATGGAAATGGAGACCATTATTCTAAGTGAAGTATCACAAGAATGGAAAAACAAACACCACACACACTCACCATTAAATTGGAACAAATTGATCAACACTTACTTGCACATATGGAAAATAACATTCATCAGAAATCAAGTGGGTGGAAGGGGTGGGGGTATGGGTAAATTTACACCTAATGGGTACAATGTATACTATCCGGGGGGATGAGCACACTTATAACTTTGACTCAAAGTGTACAAAAGCAATTTATGTAACTAAAACGTTTGTACCCCCCGTAATATTCTGAATATAAAAAAAAACTGAAAAAAAGAAAAAAATAGTCTAATTAAAACATTTGCTCATAAATTACATCTAGATTAAACAAAAAAGATACATCATTTCACCCATGATTTAAACATTAGTTTTCACTCTCTATAAAGTTTAATAAACTTTATATAAAATAAAATGCTATTTCTGCCTTAGGTACCTTATCAGAGTATTTGACCTAAACAGTCATTGATGCTTTTCTTTTAAAGACATTTATTTCTAAAAATAGTATCATTATAGTCTTGCTACTCTTTGTGAACCAAACTTTCATTTTGGAAATCAATTCACACCAAGTTCTCTTGTTAGTATTTCATGAAATTTTGTTAAAATAAAACTTAAATAACAGCTGACCCTCTTTCCTGTTGGTAAATGCATCCTGGCTTACCCTTAGGGATGTGTAATTTATGCTTGGTCTTTTCACACCAGCCTACTGGATGGATGTCAGGGGAACCTGCATTGGTCCAAAAATCATAGCAACTCAAATAACCATCAAAATGAAGTCTTAGACGGTAACCACACACCTGCGAAATGGAAAGTTTGAAACCATTAAGTGTCATATATTTCAAATGGACACAAAATTCAGAAAATATTTTCATATATGTTGTCAGGACCACCAACATATAAGAGCCAATCCTTTCATCCAAATGTTTTCATTAGGGAACAAATTTATGGATGGCATCTAATTAAGACAAAAGGGTGATGAACTAGACACTGTCTTACACAGTCCTCTTCCATAAAAGTTGCCCTTTTACCCAACCTAGGAATCTGAAGTCAATTTATATATTTATTAATTGACTATTTAGTAATTCAATACGTGTCAAATATTCCTTTCAGAGACCCTATGTCCTGCTTGTGGCTTGGATTCATATTCCAAGACAGCATAAGCTGAAGTACAACACAAAATGAAAATGGGCATGGCCTTGTTTCAACTCTAACATATGTGTCCAGCATACTCAATAAAGAGAATAAATTTACATGTCATGGGTTGTTAAAAAGAAAAAGAGCAAAAAACAAAAAGAAGAGAATAATGAAACAGTCTGAGAAAAACATCCTCTAGACATGTTATACAAGTTAAATAGCGATAATTAATCAGTAAAGCAAATGTATGTAACTTGCTGTTTCAATGCTATTAGAAATATAGAGACCTTTTATTTAATATGTTTAGTAAACATTACATTTTATAAGCCATTTACTTTCACCAGTGGTTCTCAGTCTATATACTTTTCATAAAATTCATGTTTTACATTAATACATAATTCATATGCATGAATATTATTCATATACATTTTTTGTTAGTTCAGCTAAAACACGAATAATTATGTCTCTGTTAACAGGTAAAAACAACATTGTGAGATTCGCAGATTGTTATCAACCTCAGGCAAAAACTATTTGCCAATTAAATCAAGAGTAAATGATAGTTGATGAAGGACTTATTAGAAAATTCATCTTCAGAGAAGGAAAAAATTCATTAAGAAACATAGCTACACCCATTAAAATCCATAATGCACTAGAACTCATTTATGATAAAAAGTACTTAAATTTGTTATTGTCTAGCAAATGATCTTTCTGTCACTATGCAATTAGCCCAAGACAATAACACCATCTCTTACCTCAGCTACAGAAAGCACACAGAATACAGATGGATGTCGGGGATCAATGCCTTCTAATCTCATTCCAATCTGAAAACCATTTTCATGCTCTGGAAAGGACTGATCCTATGAAATTTCATGATAGAACATTAGCCACTGAGATTTCTTCACAACGTTATATTAAAACATTTGGTGTCACTTGTATGTGAAATCTTAAACAACCAGAGGCTGGGGTGGGGAGAATAGGGAGAGGTTAGTCAAAGGGTACAAAGTTGCAGCTAGACAAGAGGAATAAATGATAAGTATTTAAGAGATGGATTTGTTAAGCAGTTTGATTCAATCATTCCATACCGTATACATATATCCTAACATCACTGTGTACCCCATAATTATATGTAATTTTTCAAAACATGAAATAAAATAAATTTTTAAAAGATCATTTACTTTATAGTTTGGAAGTTCAGTAATACAGCTAAAGACAGAAGGCTGTCCTTCTATATAATTGGCCCTCAAATATGGTTTGATCATTTTAATATGTTTTGAAAGAGCTCATCTGTGAAGCTATGTGTCCCATGAACTTCCCATTTATCCATTTTGCCCACTTTAAGGTGACTCTGCTGTTTTAATAGAGTAAAATATGTCAATTATTTCCTATAGTCTGCACATCCAGCCTACGAAATCCTTCTTAACCCTGAAGCTACACAGATACTCTCCTAGTATTTTTTAAAAACTGTTAAAGTTTTATTTTTCATATTTAAATCTATAGTGCAAGTAGACTTTATTTTTCTATGGTGTGAGGTAGGGGCTTATGTTTTTCATATGAAAAACAAATTATTCAGAAAAATTTGTTTTGAATCATCCATAAATGAACTGATCTGCAAAGTCCCCTCTGTCATATCTGGTTTCTACATATTTGCAGGCCTATTTCTGCCCCTTTATTCTGTTTCATTGACTTATTTGCCTATCTCAAACAGCTTTATTTGATTATAATGAGTCTTTCTACCTGGAGAGCAATCACTACCATATTAAACTTTTTGACTTCAAAACTTGTTCTTTCTCTATTTAATCTCAGCATTTTTGTTTGCCAAAGTTGTTTTTTCAATTTGCACATAAGACCTCCAAGATATTTTGTTGTATTTTGGGTATCTTTTAATGTTTATTGCTATTGTCAATGGAATTTTTTACAAGAGACTTTCTAATTTGTTCACATTCTTTATTGTTTTCCTTAATACTGTTATTGTTTCCCACAACCTTGCTGAATTATCATTAGTTTTGAGCAATTTTGAACAGATTCAGCATTGCTAGTCAAGATATTCTTAATTGCAAATAAACTTATGCTAATGGAAAATGATGACTAGAAATTGTTCTAGTAAATCTACAGCTGCTTGTTAAATCACTAATTGTATCAATAGTAAATACTGCTTAATATCTGGATGGTTATTATTAGGTTGAAATTTATCCTTTTTAATTTTTTTTCATTTGGAAACAATGTCAGACTTAAACGTTGTAAGAACAAACTAGTAGTGCAGAGAACACAGCATATCCTTTGCCCGGATTAATTTACTGTAAACATCTTACCTGCTTTGCTTTATCATTTGGTCTCACTTCCCACCTCTCATACCTGTCTGTGTGTCGGTATACACAGATCGATCTATAGATAGACATCATATAGATATAATTTTTCTGATCCATTTGAGGACTCTTTACCCCTAAATACAAAATATTTTTCCCTAAGGGCAGTGTATTTTCCCTAAGGATATGAACATTCTCTTAACATAACCACAGCTCAGTTTATCAACCTCTGCGAATTTAACATTTATGAAGTACTTTTAACTAATCTCCATTCATATTCCAATTTTGTCCATTTATCCAACAATGTGCTTTATAACAGCCTCCCACCTACCCACCCCTGCAAAACAGGAGCCAGTCTAGGGTCAGATATTATATTTAGTTGACAAGACTCTTTAGTCTCCCTTAATCTGAATCATTTCCCAGTGTATGTCTTTGTCTTTTGAAGCATTGACCTTTTTTTCTAAGAATATAGTTGTCTGCCCCCCACCACTGATTTTTCAACATGAATGTTCTTCAATTTGAATTTGTCTGATGCTGCCACATGATTTAATTCAGGTTATGCATCTTTGCCAGAATATTACACAGGTGATGCTATGTCCTTCTCAGGATATCATGCCCAGAGGCACATGATGTCCCTCTGTCCCTCACTGCCGATGTTAATTTTGATCACTCAATCAGTGTTGTCCAATTTCTTCATTATACAGTTACACACAAACTGCACATATACATACATATATAAACATGTAAACAAATACACCCATACACATACATGTGTATACTTCAAGTCCAAACTGATACATCTGATCTAATCCATCCCAACAAGGCTCATTCTGCCTTCTTCCGTCTATTTTGTATTTCTCCTCTGACAAAGTCTACACATTTACTCCCTTACTAAATCCTACAGTGTATCTGCTATAGTTTCAGAACTGTTTTACCCACATTACCATAATTTTTTTAAAACCCTATCAAAAGAGTTCAAGATTTGTTTGCAATTTTCCCTCCTCTCTCTGTCATCCAAGAATGGAGTATATAGATAGCTACAAACTACGTTCACAAACTACTTGGATTCACTCTTTTTTCTCTCTCTCTCTTCAGTGCAGTTATAGTATTTATTTGAAATCCAATTGGGTTCATTTGTTTCAATTTGTTTTCAGTTCTTAATTATTTTTTTAATATGTAGAACATTACCATGCTTCCGAAAGTTAAAACTACCAAAAGGCACTCAAAGAGGTGACCCTCCTATATCCTGTATCCTGTCCGCTCCCCATACTACCTCCTCTAGGGAATCAGTTTCACTGCTTCTGGTTTATCATTCCCAAATTTCTTTTTGTAAAGATAAGCAGATGTATTTATATGTTACTCAGGGTAGAGTGCAGTGGCATCATCATAGCTCACTGCAACCTCAATTTCCTGGACTCAAGCAATCCTCCTGCTTCAGCCTCCCAAGTAGCTGGGATTATAGGCATGCACCACCACACCTGCCTTATATTTTTATTTTTTGTAGAAACAGGGTACACTATGTTGCCCAGGCAGGTCTCAAACTCCTGGCTTCAAACTATCCTCCCACCTCAGTCTCGCAAAGCACTGGGATTACAGGCATGAGCCACCATGCCCAGCCTATTTTCCCCTCTTTCTTACATAAAAGGTAGCACACTATACGTGTTCTTTTGCACCTACTAATGTTTCCTGAAAACCAGTCTGTGTCAGTTAACAGCAGTTGTCCACACTCTTTTTTACAGTTGCATTGTACTCCACTGTGTGTATGTACCACAGTTTATTCGACTTTCTTCTGTACTTGGATGCTAGCCTTTTTTATATAAACATGGAATCATTGGAAACTTTATGAATTGGCTTGTAAAATGTCGTTAAAAACTTTCTTACATTCACAGATCATTTTAGAAGCTTCTAAGGGAAAACTTAAAAGATGACAAAACCCAAAAATGAAATGGCAAGAATGAATTATTTCTCAGGAATACTTTATTTCTACAAAAATAAATGTCATGTGTGTGTTTAACTCTCCCAGCCTTCTTCTCACATCTACCCTGTTTTCCAGCAGATTGTATTTAGCAAGTTGTGTGTGACTACCTCCTGTTCACTGCTTTGAAATTTCTTGGTTAACTTCAAAAGCACCACATACATCTACATATACACATGCACACAACGCTGGAAAAACGCAAGGGGAGAAGAAGAGACCACAGGGGAGAATATATTAATAATGCCAAAAGGAAATTTAAGAAGCTGTAGAAACTGAAAGAACATATTTTTCATGTTTTAACAAAAATGAAAGAAACAAAATTGGGAATAGGGAGGAAGTAGTATTATACTGAGCAGAGTGTACCTTCTTATCATACATAAATGATAAATTCAAGACACCGGCAATAATTCACAGCCAGGAGTTAACATGATCAACGTTCCTCTTGTCAGCATTTCAAAATGGTTTCACAATTGAACATTTGGGAGCTTTCTATAATGTTGAAAGTAACACTATATGGCTAAAACAGACACAGAATTCCTTGGAGGGTTTCAAATAAAAAATAACACGTTCATTTTAGCAATCTGAAAGGCAACATTTAGTGAGAAATATCACTGCCTTTCATCAGTCTCTCTTCTGTTCAATGGTTTATTCATAACATGACAGATTTAAAATTTTTCTTCCTTTCTAAAAATCTTATATTTTGTGAATATAATTGATGGCTGTGCCTATAAAATTATATTTTATGATGAGAAAAGAAATTAGAATTACATATTTAAAGAAAACAATAAGCCCATTAAATGCAATCCTAAAAAATCATAAGGTTCACAGACCTGAAAAAAACTTTAACAGATAAATAAACTCAACCCCAGAAAAGTGAAGAGATTTTCCCAAGGTTAAACAGCCACTTTGGCAGCAGAGTACACTAAGGACTGAGTCTTGTGAAAGCCTGCCAACTGTTTGTTCCACATAAGAGGACAGAGGTGACAACAAAACAAACAGAACCAAACCTGGCTGGAGGCCAGAGAAGGCCTCAAGGACATCCCCAAAAATGGCCATGTCCCCTCTGGTACAGAAATTAAGGTGTTTTGCTTTGCCATTTTCTTTCCCCAAAACAGCCACCAAACAATATTTTCTATATACTTATATATACTTTCTACTGACTTATTTTGTCACTAATAATGGAGAAGAAGCATTATTCAAAGTTCCATACCTCTTGGCAAAAACAGGTGCAAATTATACAATATTATTTAACATGCTTGTAAAATGAGTCATAGCACAAGGAGAAAAAAAAAACCACCATGCCTAGAGAAACTGCAGACAAGTTATTGGCAAAATTCCTTTATGAATACAATGCTTGGGAACAATCATTATTACGTGTGTGCCAACAGATCTTTGCTCTGTGGATAAACAAAGCCACAGATGTGCACAGTGAACAGCTCTTAGACACTTAGTAGACGTACATGAGAAGTTCTGGACATTTTACTCTATCACTGAGCACCCCCATTGCAAGAGCAGAGAGATGACGCTTGTAATGATTAGTTTGTGAGCCACTATGGATTGGGGCAGGTGGACCACCACC